TGCACGTCTTTTTTTTTTCCGGATCAAGTTCGAAATGGCCGACTGGCGGCCATTTTGTTAAAGAATTCAGTTCTGGATCCGTATCCAAGACATGTCTGGATTGATCAAGTTCAAACTTCACACACACATGGTACATCATGTCACAAATAGATATGTGCCTTTGTTTCATGATCTGCTTAACAATAGCGAAATGATTGCCATTTTAAGGCCGAAAATGCATCAAAATCGCGTATTTTCACAATTCCAGAACGAGATCTCAGTCATGCATGGATGGATTTTGTTCAGATTTAGCACAATGTGTTGTACATATGCAGGTGCATTTCGGTCATGATCTGCTTTGAATGTATATGTAACTCAAATATGAACGGAACGGGGACGTGTCATTGACAATGACTTGTTGTTGTTGTTGTCGTTGTCGTCGTCGTTGTTGTTAACAATTTCAGAATAACTCAAGTCATTTTTCTAAGATCTGACCCAGACCAGACTGTATAGAATCAGTCAACTTATAATTGAGGTGCTGTACTATGTTGGTGCGTCTGTCACATATATTGTTGGAGATATTGGTGAAAATCTACATTGGTTTAACATTGGCCTTACTTGATCAAAAATTGTATTTAATATGCTGTATACGCCTATAATATACATATATATTGCTCATATTGAATAGTGTGGTGTTTAACTGTAGCTCTTCAAGATATGCTACTGTAGTAAGTATGGTGTTGTATAAATCACCACCCGTCCAAAAATTTGACTAGTAGATGTACTCTTCCCACCACATTTTGGTCAGTATTGAATGTTGATCATTTTCGCTTATTTATGTTATTGTTTGAAAGCTTGTTATCAGTATCTGTTACAGGTATATTCTATGAGGGACAGTTTATGTAGTATTAATTTATAGGACATTGATATTTTTTTTTTTCTGTGACTTGCATTATGTATATGATGTATTATAAATTTGTGTATCTCATTCTAAATTGCCTAAAACTAAGTAGATATGTTTCTCTTTCAAGATTGGTCGTTATGTGGGAAAGGCTTCCATAGTCATGCTATGTTTGTTTTTTTTTTTCTTACTTTTTCTGTTACCATCATATCTGCACTCAATACAAGTACATTGCATGATGGGTATGTATCTCATCTACCAATAAAAATAACATAGCACCAAACCACCTACACATTTGGACACTGGACATACACCTAAAAATGATGCTTAGTAACGAATTTTATTTCACAGTGCTGTGTTTGATACGTATATTGGTGCTGTTCATGTGATTCAATTCTTGTATAAGTTTACTACATTAAATTCAATTTGCTGTTTATACATTGTTATTTCATTGTTTTACTTCAATATAGAAGCCAGCAGAGTTTGCATTGTTTATTAGATTAGATTCACCACCAGTTCCCCTTCAGAAGATTGGGACATCAATTTTTTGAGTAAAAACTGAAAATTGACTCAAATTTTGTCTGTTGGCTCCAAAAATGGAGTTCTTTTCCAAAAATACTGAAGAATATGAGAAAAAAATGCCAAATAATTTGGGCAAGAAAGTCTGGCAGTGAAAAGATTGATAATAATAAAAGTATTAAATCATTCAATATGCTTGTATTTTGCAGGAGGATTATGGCACAGTAACCTTATTGAAAAACATTTGATTGACTTTTTTGTTCCGTTTTTGCCTCTGGAAAGGCAGCATATCAAAGAATGCATAAAGGATGACTTGAAAGAAAAACGGTTAGTTGAAAAAATCCAGCGAAGACTAGGACAAAGTGAAATAGATTCAGTCATTACAGAAATTGCAAATGAACTTCAGTATTTTCCCGATGAGCATAAGGTATATTCTAAGTCTGGATGCAAGAGAGTCTCACAAAAAGTTGATCTTGTTGTCGGAGAGATGTTGGGATTTTTGCAACTAAGGAACACTTTATAGTGCCTTTGCACATTGCAACACACTGTGTAATGCTTTATTTTAGCTGGAATTTTTGCTGAAAAGACTATTTCTACAGCGAAAATAGCAAAAATTAATTCTAACTGAAAATAAAGTATTTTACGGTATATATATGTCAACTTTCTGCTAAGTGATAGGAAAGCAGTACATTGTATTTACAATTCTATACTTATCTCAGATTGTGATCTTGAACCATGATCCATTGCAGCTGTAAATCTTAAAACTAATGTAGCACTTAGATTCATTGCAAAATACATAACTGTACATAAAGTACATTGTCAATAGTAAAAAAATATTATGAAAGCCACCTTACAGTATTTGCTATATAGAAGAAGCACATCTCCAACTGAAGCGCATTTAAACCCAAAATAGCATGTGTTGTATAATGAATCATTAAAATGCATCTTATCCCCCTATAGAAACTTTTAATGTTCATCAGTGCATACACTTCTAATAGAGAAAATATGGTAATTTGGGCAAATGATAAGTTATAATATACTTTAAGAATTGACATAACATTTTTGAAAACATTTTGAGTGTTTACAAATATGAATTTCTAAAACTTAATATTATTCAGAGATTATTTATTTAAAGAAAAATTTATCTTGATTGAAAATGGGTTTGTTTTGTGTATATTGTATATTGATTGTTGTATGTCCATTAGCAATATGTTTGTGTTATGATATATATATTAGAAAGGGTTCTTTCTTTCAGTGGTTATGATAAAGGTTATAAACCAAACAACACATTGTACTGTACATGTATAATTGAATGTTTCCAATAAATCATGTTAAAATAGTCGCTGTATTACATTATCAGAGACTAACATTTTATGATTCAGTTGTATTTTCATTGTTTCCCTTAATTTTACTCATAACAAATAATATATGCTGCAAATGTTTTTTTCTGAAAATAAAAAAAAATGTGTTTGCACATATCTGATTTGTGATGGTATTTGGTGTGTGTTTACATAGGTAATAAAGGGTTGTATTTAGTGTGTGTTTACATAGGTAATAAAGGGTGGTATTTGATGTGTGTTTACATAGGTAATAAAGGGTAGTGTTATGTGTTTACATGGGTAATAAAGGGTGATATTTGATGTGTGTTTACATAGGTAATAAAGGGTGGTATTTGATGCGTGTTTACATAGGTAATAAAGGGTGGTATTTGGTGTGTGTTTACATAGGTAATAAAGGGTGGTATTTGGTGTGTTTACATAGGTAATAGAAGGTGGTATTTGATGTGTGTTTACATAGGCAATAAAGGGTGGTATTTGATACGTGTTTACATAGGTAATAAAGGGTGGTATTTGGTGTGTGTTTACATAGGTAATAAAGGGTGGTATTTGGAGTGTTTACATAGGTAATAAAGGGTGGCATTTAGTGTGTGTTTACATAGGTAATAAAGGGTGGCATTTGGTGTGTGTTTACATAGGTAATAAAGGGTGATATTTGATGTGTGTTTACATAGATAATACAGGGTGGTATTTGGTGTGTTTACATAGATAATAAAGGGTGGTATTTAATGCGTGTTTACATAGGTAATAAAGGGTGGCATTTGGTGTGTGTTTACATAGGTAATAAAGGGTTGTATTTGGTGTGTGTTTACATAGGTAATAAAGGGTGGCATTTGGTGTGTGTTTACATAGGTGATAAAGGGTGATATTTGATGTGTGTTTACATAGGTAATAAAGGGTGGTATTTGATGCGTGTTTACATAGGTAATAAAGGGTGGCATTTGGTGTGTGTTTGCATAGGTAATAAAGGGTTGTATTTGGTGTGTGTTTACATAGGTAATAAAGGGTGGTATATGGTGTGTGTTTACATAGGTAATAAAGGGTGGTATTTGATGCGTGTTTACATAGGTAATAAAGGGTGGCATTTGGTGTGTGTTTGCATAGGTAATAAAGGGTGATATTTGATGTGTGTTTACATAGGTAATAAAGGGTGGTATTTGATGCGTGTTTACATAGGTAATAAAGGGTGGCATTTGGTGTGTGTTTGCATAGGTAATAAAGGGTTGTATTTGGTGTGTGTTTACATAGGTAATAAAGGGTGGCATTTGGTGTGTGTTTGCATAGGTAATAAAGGGTTGTATTTGGTGTGTGTTTACATAGGTGACAAAGGGTGGTATTTGATGTGTGTTTACATAGGTAATAAAGGGTAAGTTCATTTGTGTAACTATTGGATTTTGCAAAGAATTGAAAGATTGAAAATGGACTATAGAGGGCGTTTGTGGGAAACTCGTATCGTTTCCATACAGCTAACATAAACTTTCAAGCAACGTAAGACGAGGTCAAAGCTAAGCGAAGAGCGCCATCTATGTTTAAAACCTGTCTTTGAAATGCAAATTATTGCGCGTTCAGTGTATTTCAGACAAAATTTGTAACATTTCTATTATTTTGGACTCAAATTGCTTTCAGCTTTGACACCTCATCCTCATGTTTGTCAAAACGTTTAAATGTAGAGCGTTTTTTTGAAAAAAAAATGGAAGGAAGCAAACTTATACTTTTCAGTCCGAGTACCATCGGTCCGCATTGCGTTTATTTTCCACTAGAACAATAAAAACACAGCACTATTTATTGCATACAAAATACAACGTAATTTCGTGATCAAGTCGTACATGCACGTAACTGAGGGACACCGTAGTCGCCCATAATGGCAAATAGCTCCCTCAACCTAGGAGTCGTCATACGGCAAATGCATTTATTCCTGTTAACGTTCAGTTGACGTCCATTCCTGACGTGACCGCTTGTTTTTTCCTATCATACTGCTAGTTTATTGATGATATGTGGAATGGTGTTACGACGGCGTTTAATTATGGCCGCATTGGTCTGTCCATTCATTGTGACGTTTTAGCTGAGCGTATCAGATGCACGGACACAGCCTGAAAATACATAAACATGATTGTCAATTCAAAAGAAATGCGACTAATTGATATTGTCTTGTTTTACAACATCTGCATATACTAGTACTTAAAATAACGTTCCACTACTTACTTATTCGCCTGAAAATCTTGACAAACGCGTTTCTGACTCGTCCTAATAAATGTTTTTTCGCTTTTGTTTGGAATGAAGGATCATCTGGAAAGATATAAAAAAACATGTATATATAAAAATATATTGTTGTTGTTGTTGTTGATGATGATTAAATTTAATGCAAATACATGTATTAATTAATTAATTGTGATATTCATAAATATTACACCATTGAAAGTATAGCTACCTTGATCCGTATTGCCAATGACCCTTTTGGGTACTGGTCTATCATAGTATTCAAACGCTTCGAAGTGCGAGGATTCCCTTATTCGGATTTTCATTTCCATTTGTCTCTCCATTCTTTCAGTAATACGAATTAATTCGTCGCTGTCTGTATCCGTGTCACTATCCTGGCTGTCAGAAGATTCCTCAGTAGATTCAACTCTTACAACAACTTCACCTGGTTCTCTCTCGCCGTCGCCAGAAGTCGATAGTTGCCGTTGATCTTTTTTGACGTTGCCCGTCTTGTGGGCGTGCTTGAGACATTTACGCCAGGCCGTATACCTCAAATGCGAGCTTGCTTTGAGGGTAACACATTGCTGTAAAAAAATATATAATGACATTACGGTTGTTTAATTAATTAACAGCATTATTAACATTACTAAATATGCAAATATGTGGAACAAATAAAACAATCAATATATTGTAATGATGTATGTGGAAACTTACATGTGATTTATCAGTGTCTGTGTGTCTCAGAGTCAGACTCTCTAAATTCGATACCACAGAATATTCAGCAAGATTCAGGTAGATAATAGCATCCCGGTGCTAAAATAAATAAATAAATAAACAAACAAAAACAAACAAACAAGCAAACAAACAAATAAATAAATAAATAAATAAATAAATAAATAAATAAATAAATAAATAAATAAATAAATAAATAAATAAATAAATAAATAAATAAATAAATAAATAAATAAATAAATACTCTTACCGTATGAATTTCCAAGTGACACGGCGCAAACAATTTACATAAAACTCGTCTCCACTTTCTTCTTTTGTTAACATTCTCGGAATCATTTGGCATGTAGAGATATCCCTGACGAAGAAGCTCGCCATCCTTGAAATAAAGGTAAATATGGATGTAAAGTTTTATAGAGGAGTGAATAAACATATCGTTTAGTTTTCAAACTAGTTCACGTTATGAAAAATTCAAGCATCAGAGAACACTATTTCCATTATCAGAGACAAATAACCTTTCCGCAGTACTTAATTCATAAACTTACCTCAGTTTCATCAGTTTTCACAATCTTTTTGCAACCCATAATAAACGCAATAAAGTAAAGTGTACAACGATAAAGCGATGAAGTCTGCACGATATACTGAGCAATGTTTTCGCAAAGAAAGCAGAACACAAAGTGACTTGAATCGCGTTCGAAACTTAGAATCGTGAGACGCGTTACCAAGTTACCCCACTCTGAACACTGGTGGCGCTATGACCGTTCTCGGTCAGAACAAATCGGTGGCGAATCGTACGTATCGCATATCACGAATTCTGATTACAGCTCGCTATTGGTGAAAACTGCTAGGACCGATAAATATAAAATATAGACAATGGTATTAGGTAATTGTAGTTTCAGGTAATTATTCATTATAACAAGATGTTTCGAACAAAGTATCTTTTCTCAAAGAATGATAAATACATGTATGAATAGACATGAACAGTTCGACGTACTTGTCATTATACACAAGGCAATCTACTTCCCACAGGTCTTTGCGCCTTACACAGTACTAGTAGTACTTCAGTCACTTGTTGCCTTCCATTTTGTGCTCATTCTGTTATTTTCAGTAGCTGTTTTACTTGAAAATGTTCCACAACAAGTAATACACTGACACTGGCAGAAGCTTTTTAGGAAGTTGTAAAATTTGAATCACAGTGGTAAAACTGACGGCAAAGTCACAGAATGTGCGATTGCGGTTCATCAAGTTATCTTATTCAAAT